AGATTTATCTTTATTAAATGGTTAAATGATGATGAGCTGTTTCTTTTATATAAAAGAGATTCGGTTACTTGCAGTCATTGGCTTAGCATAAACTAATTATTGTTGAGATCTTATTGCCATTGACTAATGTTTGTCTAAATAACGAGATCTATCATGAGCGATAACCGATTTACCTTCCATGAGCTTTAATTGATTTATTCTTATAAATATGCTGGAATCGACTATTTAGTCGATTTTCTTCCATATCGGCTCTCAGAGCCGCACATTTGGGACTGTCTGGCAACACCGGCATGTTACGCCTTAAATTACTGATTAGCTTTCTCTCTTTGTTAATTGCAGGGTCAAATTGACTGGCATGTCTCGGGAGGAGTGCGCAGGATCGATCATCCCTGTGCTGAAGCTAGGCGGATCTCCAGTTCTATCGAGCGGACCCTTTGAAAACTCTAGTTTGGTTTTGGTGAATTGATGAAACCCTAAGTGCTAACCTAGTTTATCAAGTGATCATGAGATAGGTAGCACACTCCAAGTTGTGAAGCAAACAAAGATCATAGCATGATGAAGATGATGCCATGGTAATGATCAAGTGCTCGGACTTGGAAAGAAAAAAGAGAAAAACAAAAAGCTCAAGGCAAATGTATAAACCATAGGAGCTATTTTGTTTTGGTGATCAAGACACTTAGAGAGTGTGATCACATTTAGGGTTGATAGCCGTACTATTAAGAGAGGTGAAACTCGTATCGGAATGCGGTTATCAAAGTGCCACTAGATGCTCTAATTCATTGCATATGCATTTAGGATCTAGTGGAGTGCTAACACCCTTGAAAATATTTGTGAAAATATGCTAACACATGTGCACAAGGTGATATACTTGGTGGTTAGCACATTGGAGCAAGGGTGGAGAAGTTAGAAGTAAAAACGAGTTAGTGTCGCTGGTTATACAGTGACCGGACGCTGGACCTTTGAGGGACCGGCGCGTCCGGTCATGTGTAACAGTGAGATGCTGGCGTCGGTCTATTGACCGGACGCTGGGTCGCTCGGCGACCGGACGCTAAAGGGCTACGTCCGGTCAAGTGGTCGGTCTGCACAGCGCTTAGGGTTAAGCACCGGACGCTGGGTTGTGTCCAGTCGATAAAAATCGATTCTGGACCCTTACTAGAAACGACCGGACGCTGAGGGTCCAGCGTCCGGTCAGCTGACCGGAGCGTCCATTCGGGCACGACAGATGACCATTGGAGTCAGACACGTGGCTGACTACGAGCGATCGGACGCTAGGGGCTCAGCGTCCGGTCAACTGACCGGAGCGTCCGGTCAGCCCGCGTTATGCCCAGTGAAGGGGTATAATGGCTATATTTTCGTGGGGGCTTCTATTTATGCCCCATGGCTAGCTATAGCTCACATCTTTGGCCATTTCCATTGACATAGCAACCTTGTGAGCTTAGCCAAAGCCCTCCCACTCATCTCCATCATTGATTCATCATAGTGAGATTAGGAGTGAATCCAAGTGCATTGCTTGAGTGATTGCATCTAGAGGCACTTGGTGTTCGTGTTTCGCTGCGGGTTTCGCTTGTTACTCTTGGTGGTTGCCGCCACCTAGATGGCTTGGAGCAGCGAGGATCGTTGAGCGGAGGGCGGTGATTGTCTTCGGCTCCGATCGTGGTGATTGTGAGGGGTTCTTGACCTTTCCCGGGAGAGCCAAAAGGTACTCTAGTGGATTGCTCGTGGCTTGTGTGATCCTCATCTTGTGTTGGTTGTGCGGCACCCTATCGAGGGTTTGGCGTGTGAAGCCAATTAGCGCGTGAACCTCCAAGTGAGTGAATCACCACAACGAGGACTAGCTTGCCGGCAAGCAAATGAACCTCGGTAAAAAATCATTGTGTTCATCCTTTGATTCCGAGGTGATTGGTCTTCATTGTTATCCACACTTGTGATTGATTGATTCATACATCTACACGGTGGTATAACCTTCTTGCCCACTCTTTACATTATCGTAAACTAGTTGTCAAGCTTTTTAGTGTAACTAGTTGTGAGAGCTTGTTAGTTTGGTTAGTGTGGCTCTTTAGTTAGCATTTGAGAGCACACTACCTTAGTGTAGTGATATAGCTATTGTGTGGATATACTCCATCTAAACTAGAATTGTGGTAGGTGGCTTGCATTTTGAGTAGGCTAGCGCAACACTTGCTTCGCCTCATAATTGTCTAACCCTTTTGTTAAGTGTTGTTGTAGAAATTTTTATTAGGCTATTCACCCCCTCTAGCCATTAGGACCTTTCACCCTTCCGGCTTAATCGTGTGCCCTCGGCATGGGACAAAATTTCGTGCCGAAACACGTTCTTGGCACGCCCGGTGGGACACCACAATCGTCATGGCGGTTCACAACAACAACGACATCCTTATGGTATATTATGAAGATCTATCTGATGAAGATAAAGATGTCATCGGCAAAGCTATAGAAGAGTTTCAGAAAAAGTATTTGTTGTCCTACACCAAAACACATGACAACACAATTATTCAGAAATATCCACTACCAAGAGTTCTATTACACGGGCAGACAGATACAGATGAAGCTGAAGACAAGTGTTTCTTTATGAAAGCTGTAAACAAATATGTTCATGATGCCATATCAAGCCATAATGAAGCTTTCTTGGACACGTTCCATAACGCCATGAAAGAGGTATTTCATGGGTTTCCAGTTGGTCAGGTTGGGTCGTCTTATTATAACATTCCACATCCGTCGATCCAAGGGACTAATCAAGTCAGTACCAGCCATCAAGAAGCAACACCAGCTGATAATAATGATGTCCAGGCAGTTTAGAGTTTATCTGAACAAGCTCAAAGTATTACTATGAATTAGATACAATATAATCCTGAATCGTCAGTGCAGCATGTGCAACAACCGGTGGAGCAAGGTCAGAACCAGGTGATTAATTTTGGCACATCGGGCCACATACCATCGTCGGCTTAAAAAATAGCACCATCAGTTCAAAGGATCCATAGAAATATATATCCTCATGTCTATAATCAGAGACTTCAAGCAGCAAACCAGTAAAGGACCCAACAGATAGAGATTCCATAAGGGTATTATTATGGCACAGATTATAACACCCTCCATATAATTCCGAATCCAAGGTATCAAGGCACACGGGATTTCAATCCACAGATGGGTCAGCAGGTCTAGAGAAAAAAAATTCACATGCTGATGAGTTGTTGCTAAAGGTGACCGAGATGATGAAGAATCAGTTCGGTCTGAAGCTAAAAGGGCTGACCTTTTCGTACAAACGCCCATATCCAGAATGATATAATTTGGTTGCTTTTCCTGTAAATTACGGGCTTCCAGAGTTTGCTAAGTTCACTGGCCAAGACAGTACAAGCACAATAGAACATGTCAGTCGATATCTTACACAATTGGATGAGGCATCAGTTGAGGAGGCCCATCGAGTTTGTTTCTTCTCCTTGTTCCTATCAGGGCCAGCCTTCACTTGGTTTTCATCACTGCCGGTCAACTCTATTACCAATTGGGCTGATCTGGAAAAGAAATTTCATACATATTTTTATACTAGGGACAGGAGAAAAGAAAATTAACGATCTGACAACTATAAGGCAGAAGACTAATGAATCGAACACTGAGTTTTTTTAGAGGTTCCGAGAGACTAAGAACTTATGCTTCTCATTAAACTTGGCTGATGATCAGCTAGCTGCTTTAGCCGTTCAAGGAATGCTGCCAATATGGAAAGAAAAACTGCTAGGACAAGAATTTGACAACTTGGATCAATTGGCTCAACGAGTGCACCACAAGGGCAAAGGGTTTTTGTGGCGAAAATTTTCATCACAAAAGCTTATTTTTTCGCCACAAACCAGCCTTTGTGGCGAATTTTTAAATCGCCACTGGTCGTCACAAATACTCACCTCACAGATACTCTAGTGATGAATTTTTGTTCCCCACAAATGACCATACTCATTAGTGACAAATTATACTGCCACTAGTAACGGGACCATTTGTGGCTCATTCGTTGTCACAAAAACATATGCATTAGTGGCAAAAAATGATGCCACTCATAATGTTTTTAGTGGTGATAATAGTTGCCACAACTATACAGAATCTATGGCAATATAATTGTCACAATTACCATTGTAAAAGTGACAAATTTTGTGGTCACTAAAGACTACATATTAGTGACAGAAGTTTTGCCATTACTTGAGTTTGTCGTGTTGATGCTTGTTCTCACTATTAAATTATAGTTGTGTCTAATTGTGTATCACAATATGTATGGGAAAAAGTGGTAACTTGTTAACACAAATACTTTTCATTTGTGATGCAAACTAATCCTCACATGTAAACTACGGTGACAAACCTTTGTCATAAAAAAATATCTTTTTGTAAGAACTGACAAGACAAAATGTATCAATAGTTTCATCACAAAAAACATAGCATTTGTAGGAAAATATTAGTCAGGACAAGTTTTGTCACAAGATAAGTTTCAATTGTGTGAAACACATTAGATGTTGTGGCGACCAAGTTATCATTATTATCCTTGTTGTAGTGACAAAAATAGCTCAACAAATGTACATCATAGTAATATGATTATTTCAAATCTGCACCAATAATATTTATTTTAATAATTCAAATTTGGCATTCAAGAATTACATAAAACTAAGAACACTCAAACCTCAAAATAACTCTCTTGACACTATTTTAAAGTCTCACAATAATTATTCAACTAAAGTGTTTAAACTCTAAGATGTTGGAGGCTGCGAGGCACCAATGCATGCAATTAATTCAGCCATTTGATGATCAAGTTGTTCTCTCACTAGGCGAGCAACTTCTCCACTCTGTGCTAGACGCAAAGAACTCAGCTCATCATGTTGGGATTGCTACTCTTCTTGCAGTTGTGCATTTGTTTCGACCACCGTGGAAACTTGGCTTTCCAAAGCTTGTGCTCGTTGCTCAGCAGCCTCAGCACGTTGCTCAGTAGCATCTGCACGTGCTCGAGCTGCAGCTTCACACTATTCAAAAGCCTCAATTTGCACCTGCAATCTGATTCTTTCTTTAGCCAATCGGTTTACAGCACGAATGCCAACACCACGTGAATGGTTTGGCTTTCGACCAAGAACTAGTGCGAAGTGCTCTACTATTGGCATGGGCGCAGAAGAAATCTTTTCTTGATGTATCCCAGCAGCTTCATGTAGTTTGGTCTGCAAAGCATGAAAAACAAACTAATTAAGAACTCATATACTACACAACAGGGAAAAGCGTTCATATAATGAATCATAGGTATGAGCACAAATTAGCTATAGGATAGTGTAACATCAGTTGCTACTGTTTAAAAAAATATGCAAACATGTTATCTAATAATTGAAAATTGCAGACAAATTAAATAATATATGAAATTTACAAACAGCTTAATAAAAATGATATTGTTCATGATTAGAGATACTGCAAACATTTCGTAGTGCCTAGACTTTTCAACTCATTAAATGAACAATACAGAGACTACATTGCAGAGATAATAACCATGAAAGAGTCATACATAATTCTACTACCATACTTTTTCATACAAAAAACACACCACTTCCACCTAATCCTAGTTCAAAAGGTAGGATACAGATTGACAAATGTGAAACCCAAAGATGCCATCAGAAAGGGTAGTAATATGGTCATACCATTATTTCTTCACCCATTGGAATGGACCATGTCCCATCAGCCTTTTGATATGTAGCCCTCCAAACTTGCATAGCAGTAGGCCATTCACCAGTCTCTGGGTCTCGCTGCATTGGAATAACAAAAGCATATATTCACTAATTCAGAACAATGTGTAATAGAAAAAAATCTGCCTAGTAACTATTTTCCTCACCAGATCGTAAGCGATTTGAGCAATTGATATAGTTCCTACTTTGGACCCCATCTCTTGCTTTCCTCTATTGATAGAGTTTTGGTTGCTCCTTTTCTGGTTTACAAATTGCATAAATGTATCATTAACAATTATGCAGCACTGTAATTTAGGACATGAGTTGTATGTACCTGAAAATCATCATACGTCCACAAATTCCTTATCAACCATTGCCAACCTTCTGGTGAGACATGTTGTGGCCTTGGCTTGTTGTTTCGATAAGTTTGAAGTAGACGGTAACGCCGATTATTATATTGACTCTCTACTTGTCTCATGGCACAATCTTTATCTTCTTCTGAAAGCTCAGGAAACTTTTGTTGTACATCAAAGATATATTGTAATAACCAGCCACTGAATGCAATGATAACCTATGCATGCCAAATATGTTCATTTCGTATGAAAAGTAGGTCACCTTTAGTTTTCTCCAAACAGATGTAGTAGTACTAGGATGAAACTTATCCATGTCCCTCCACTTCTTCACTTGGAGTGGTACAGTTCTTACAAGAACTGTTATCTCACTTTTAAATAAACTAGCATGTTCTCCACATACTTTTGCAAATTATTTAGGGAACTTTATATCAATATGCTTTCCTTTTGCTCTTCTCTTGCAAAGTTGATTGTTAATTGTAAGTTTTCTTCCACTCTTAGCAAGGCCTAGTTAATTTAGGGAAAAGAACAAGGGTAATTAAATGTAATGTTTGTACTCTATAGTGTCAAGAATCAAATTTTAGATTAGTATAACAGGTTGTGACATGCTAAATGTAGCACTTGTTATTATGTCGTATAAATAAATAAATGTAGATCAACATAGCAGTACCTAGCTAAATCAGCGAAATAAACAATGGTGTAAAGAAGCATGTTTTAGATTAGCAAAACACCTTCAGTGTTGTGTGTTGCAGCATTTATTTGATTATTTTCATCCATTGCCACATCTGAATCAAATTGATCACGTTCATTGTCAGTTCGAAAGCCACGTGAATGTAACCTGGTTGTTATTTCACCTGTAGAAATAAAAATGGGCATTTTGTAAATTTTACATAACTAAATACAACAGAAATGGCTATCTTTTATTGTACCATTAGCACACGAAGTAATGCAAGTGAACACAGTTGCAAGTAATATAACTAGGATTTTTGACATCGGCATGAACACAAACCCCATGTGTTTGTTCATAGTAGCTCTCATTCAGATCTATGAACAAGTAATGGTGCATTCAATTAAACAAGAAGTCAAGAACTTGCATGTTCTCATGGAGATTATTAATGGAATCGCTATCAGTACTAATAAGTCGAGTTGCTGATAACTAGAAGACACATCATATGAACTTAACAAAAGATCATGTAAGTTTTCTTATACACTAGAAGCAATATAGAAACATTATATTACAAACGAGGCTGCAGAAAATTGTAGCTTTCCTAATTTCCTTTGACGCAACATGCTACAATACATCATAATTTTTACGCAAAGAAATATTTGGTGGTGCTGAATGTATAAAACAAACCTATACCAGAGGTCAATTGGTCCCTTGGATCCTTGGATAAAACAGAGGCAAGCTCATCAAATTCTGTATCCATTTCAGCAATTGTTGGTTGAGGCACCTGTGGAGGCACCCGTGGAGCCATTTTCCTGCGAAACAACAATGGAATTGATGGAGAAACATAGCCATCAAATTAATGGATATTTTACCAAAAGAAACAATCTGACGAAAAAATAATAATTTGAGACATACAAAGGATGGAAACAATCTGTCAAAAAATAATTTGAGAAATATAAAGTTGGACTGGGCTGGAGGAATGGGTGTCGTAGGTTGGTGTCCAGTACAAATATGGTATGGATGTGATGCACATTCATAGATCGAAATCAAGATATCAGTATGGAATTGGAGGTATCGCATCTTCTTGCGGTGTAGAGATGGCGGAGGCGGCGACGATGGCAGTTGTGCAAGCTGCAGTGGCGGCGGCCGTGGCGGTGGCCGCCGCGGCGACGGTGGCCGTGGCCGTGGCGATGGCGGCACTGGCCGCGGGCACGGCGGTCGTGGTAGCGGCGGCGGCGGCCACGACGAACTGGATCGGAGGCCGCAACGACGGATCAACACGGTGGTGGATTTTCCGCATCGGCATCATGAATCCGTGGGGTAGCTAGCCACCGGAGGCATCTGGGCGTGCACCATGGCGATACATGGCCTTGGCTTTGACACAGGACAAGAGTAATCATTGGCGGCTAATAATGATGATGATGGCCGGATGGAGGAAGACTTGGCAAAAAAATACTAGTAGTAGTACGCAGTGCACCTTTGTGGTCGCCTATTTCTCTCCGTCAGTTGGCTTTGATTGTTTGGTAGATCCGTAGATGATGGAAAGGACTCCATGTATGTATATATATACTTGATGTCCAATGCAATATGGCGGGAGTCAAAAAAATTCACGTATTAATTGGAGGGAAAGGTGAATGGATATTTGGAGGGAACAATTTTTCGCCAATTATAATTATTAAGAGGAAACGAGTGCGCTCAGTGTGAAAAAAACGATAAACAAGGCCAATAATATTTCTACTAGAGATATAATGTGAAAAAAATATAAACAAGGTGCATAATATTTCTACTAGAAATTATAATTTTTAATACCAAATTTATTTTAATGTGTGTTTATTGGAAAAATATTTTTGTTATTTTTTAGATAGTGAATAAAATTCGACTTCAAATCTCTTCGAATAAGACGCATCACTTGACAATTAGTTTTCTCTAAATGGTCCTTCCATGGTATTTTCCAAAAAAAAGGTTCTTTGAATGCCATATAACTAAATTTCAACAAATAAAAAGACATATGTGGGAGGCGAAGAACTCCATGGACGTTGGCTGCAAAAGCTGGCAAGAATGTACTAAAGGGTCTTTGAGCTCCTCATAGCGTTATAACATAGCCAAGAACCATAGCCAGTGTATCCTCAAAACCTTGGGGGGCTAGAAATTATACATAGAGGGGGTCAGTCAAAGATATTCAATATGGGTGTGTTTGGTTAGCCAATTAAGCCTGGTTAGCTCAAGCCTGGCTTCAACAATACAAGATGAACTTGTTTGGTTGCATGACCTAGCTTAGTCGGTATAAGAAATGTTACGTTTTTGTTGGTTGCTTTATCTTGTAGCAGGAGGTGAGGCGAGCGGATAAAAGGGCTAGCTCAGGCCTGGCTTCACGAAAACGGCCGCCCACCTCGTTCCAGGCTGGCCTGACTAACAGGTGGTCGGTGGCTTCAAGAAGCCTATCTAACAAGCCCAACAGGGCGACCAAACAGGTCAAAAATTGTAAACTAGATCTTGCATATATAGAAGTTGGGGACCAAACTAAACAAGTTGAATTGAGACTCATCTGTTTAGGTTCTTATGGTGGAACCTGGCCAGCCATGTTAGTCACGATGTAGTTGCTCCTATTTTTCTGAATTTATTCCAGTGTGGTGATTAATTTGGACGAGTGTGCGTGTATGCATGTAAGCATCTGCTACCCATATTATTATCATGTATCTACCTTTTTATACGTAGTTTTATAAGAATAATATCATTAAACAAGTTAGGATTAAAGATTGAGTATATAACAAATACAGTGTTAAACTAATAATTAAATATATAAAAATCATAAACAAATGATTATTTAGATCATAGATTAAATATTTATAAAAAAATAATATAGAATATCATAGTTTTCTACTCATAAGATCATGTCAAATATCAACATTCGAACCATATTAGTTTTGTTTTGGCAAACATTTTGTTTGCAAATAACTCACTCATTTTGATGACTAATAAAGCAAATTATGGTGCTTTATTAATTATTAAATCTTTGTAAAATACAAAATCAAGTCCTTAACAAGTAACCAGGTTGCCTACCCTATTCATCGGCATTAATGTTCACCACAAAAATAGAAAGAAAAAGAAAATAGAGCGAAAACCTCCTACATTTTTGGACCCAGATAAGGTAGCCCACGAATCTGAACTCAATACTCAATGGCTACCGCTTAAACCCTAAACAGCCCCCAAACTGCTATGGCCACCGCCTGTTGATCCATTTGCTTCTTTCCACCGATCCACTGGTGCAGAGGTGAGATGCTGATGTCCAACACCTCTGCCGACAGGTAATACTTTTGATCAAAATACAAGTTGTCCGCACTGTCATTCCTCAAGACCGTACACATGTTTGTTCTTGAAGCAGCCAGATGCAGGACCTCTGTGTAGCTCGATTGTTCCATCTTGATTGTCATTGCCATACCCATAGCACAGCCATAGGACTGTACCTGTTATGCATACCAAATACCGATAGCCCATTGAATATTTTCTGGGTCTTCTGTTCTGCATACACAACCTATATTTATCTTTCATTTTTATAAGCTCTTCAATAACTTGACAAACTGTAGTTTTGTAAACAATTCATTCCTCAATGACAGGATGGTTGTGGACAAAAGTTGGATGGACATATCCAATAGGAGGCTTCCCCAATACGAAGAAGGAGCTAAAAAATTTATTGAGTTTGCTTTTTTCTGGCTGCAGTGCGGACAAGCTTCTTCGATGTCCTTGTAGAATCTGCAAAAACAATTACTTTGCTGATCAGATATCTATAATGGAGCATCTCATGCTGAATGGAATATGGAAAGAATACAGAGTATGGGATCATCATGGAGAGAGTGTGTTAGATTCAGAAGACAGTGACCACAACATGGAAGATCATGATGACTATGTTCTGCGTGAGATGGTGAATGATTTTGGAAATGCTGTGAATGCCAACTTGGGATCATTTGATGGTTCATCACCTGGCTTGCAGGATGACATGACAAAGCTCGTCCAAAGGGAGCAATTGCTGAGGCTGTAGTGTTATAGGAATGTGTGACTCTTTGTTCTATGTACTTGCATGGAATTGAGACAAGAATCAACAGGCCAAGCCGTAATGATGACAGTGATGATAACAATAGCAACACACAGCTCTAGATTTTTGCCAAAATTGGAAGACGGCTTATTGGGAATAGATATTGTGAGATGGAGATGAATGAATTGAACAAAGCACAAGCCTACGTTCTAAAGAACTGTGAAGAGGCTTCTCCATATACAAGGTAAGCCACTCCTAAGATGTTCATTGAACTGTGGACCTCCAATTTTGTAACATCTATTCTCCTATGTCACAGCATTCATAAGGAATATTTAAGGACATAGAGCACCAAAAATGTAGACAAGCGGCATGAGAAAGAGTTCTTTCAGTGGTTCAAGAACCATGTAAGTATAAGGATGTTTTTATTACATTATTTCTTTAGGGTAGCTTAATTAACTACTGTGCTTCATGTAGATATCAACTATGTATTCCAAAGGAGATCCTTCTCGCTGGGAGGAATTTGGAGGAATCTGGATGAATCTGGAGAAATTTGTGAGAGAGTGAACAGTGTTTTTCATCCGCGCACAGTGAAATCCGGCTGGTTTTTCAACCAGCCGAACGAGCCCAGAGGACCCGATACTAGAGTGACACATTTCTCAAGTTATATGGTCAATGGATGGAGATTTAACACAAGGGACAGAGACGCCCTATTTCAAGCACAAAACAGTGGAGTATTTGTCAAGGGCGATGAAGGAACTGGAAACAAAGATTACTTTGGTGTCTTGACAGATATTGTGGAGCTTTTATATGGGACTCATAAGGTTGTTCTTTTTAAATGTGAATGGTGGGATGTACATACAACAAGGGGAGTTAAAGAAGATAAGTATGGGTTCATAATGATAAATACTACTCGCAGGCTGTCAACAGATGAGCCATATGTTTTGGCTTCGCAAGCAGAGCAAGTATATGATGTGAATGATACTCAAGATCCAAAATGGTATGTCATGGTAAAGACTAAACCTCATGATTATTTTGACACTCCTCCCACTGATGAAGCAGATGCCACTACTAAATCAAGTAAATCCAGTCCTGAAGCTTGCCAAGAAAATGAAGTAATAACTGTGCCGAATCCAAATACAATAGAAGATGATGACACAAGTATATTGGACACACCTCAAGTTGAAGCGGAAGCTGAAGGTATACCTGTGGCTGTGGAAGGTAATCCGATACTCCATTACGAGGGTGACATTGAGGATGAAGATGAGCAACAAGAATCTGAAAGTGATGACAGCGAAGGTGGTGAGTACATGGATTCAGATGACGAAGACAGTGAATCGGAAGAAGAAATAGATGACGACTAGCAAATAACTGATAATCAAGCTGAAATTTCTATAGGGAATATATATATGAGATGCAGCTTCATCTCCTTGGTCACTTGCTTTACAAACACTACACAGTAGTGTCAAACAAATAAGCATTTAGGATATCATGGTCACTCTGGCATTTTCAGCTATGTTTTATTTCCTAATACTTATCAGTTTTGCAAGCCCTGATAATATGATATATATTCATTATAAACAAGCTATTCATTCACAAATTGTCAATTCACGTATTACTATGGCCATCCGGATTTGCGCTTGCTTTTGTTCGTTCTCACTAATTTTACTTCTGTTCTGGATCCCTACAAGACAAACTTGTGTCTTTTTGCTCCCACAACCAAATTAACTGGTACATAAAGTCACTAAAACCTAAGATAATAGAGGTCTAATTTGTACTTCAATTACAAAATTACAACATAATATACTAGTATTATGTAACTAAACATAGGGGGTCCAGCTCTCCCGTATGCAATGACCAAGGTTCAAGTGCCCAATCAATGCCACTGAAACATCACTAAGGCATTTGGCAATTGAGCTTCTAGCCTACATTCAAACTCCAGAGAATCGAATAGACAAATATGGTGAATTGATCAAATAATCTAAACTGGAGAGCAACAATGTTTACTATCCAATCCTATGACCTCGGATGAGCCGCCATGTTAGGCCCCTGGCCACACGAGCCGCTAGCTGCACAGGCGGCCCTGAAGCTCCAGTGCTCCACTACGGACACGCCCGAGCTATGACCGCCCGCCAAACACGGCCGCCCGCCACACGCTTGAGTGGGCTGCCCGCATGCCTGCCCGTGTTGATGCCCGCAGATGACCGTACCTAGCTCATAGTACGGCATGAGCAAGCGGCTCGGCGTCTTCCTCCTCGCGCGCAGATGGCCGCGGCCAGGGACGCAGCGAATCCGACCTTTTGCGAGCTCGTCGAGATTGGCGGCGGCGACCGTGGGCGAGCTCGTCGAGTGCGAGGCGAGATTCGGTGGATCCGGGTGGGAGCGGTATGGCCGGAGACCATGGGCGGGCTCGTCGGCGCTGAGCAGAAGCATCGAGCTGGGGGCGTCCGGAGACACTCGTCGAGATAGGCGGCTGCGGCCGTGGGAGAGCTTGCTAAGCGCTGCACGTGCGAGCTTCGGTACAGCCATGGGCAAGGGCATCGACGGCCGGTGACTATGGGCGAGCTCGTCGGCGCTTGGCGGAGCTCTGAGCTTGGGGGCGGCCGGAGATGCTCCATCCAGTAATTGCAGCTGCAGAAAACGGAAGAAGATATTGTTTCAAAAAAAACGGAAGAAGATAAGGTGGAGTTTGACTAACAAGTGGGACCCATGATTATACAATATTTGCCACTAATTATTTATCATACGGAACACATGTTTTTATCACTAATATAAATATTATATAACAAGAAAATTTATTTGCTCACAATTAACTTGGTAACAAGTGACAAAAGAATATTTTGCCACAAAAATTTCTCAGTAATCAGGTACCATGTGGTGATGCAAAATTTTGTCACAGACAAACATACTAATAGTGGGGGAAATTGTCTAGTCACAATTAAGATGGTAAATAGTGAAAAAATATAATTTTGCCACAACATTTTCTCACTGACCTTGAACCGTGTGGTGATATAATATTTTGTCACTGATAGATGATGAAACTGTGAGGAAATAAATATTTAGTCATAATTAACCTATTTGTTAGTAACAAATTAATGTTTCATCACTAAATTCGCCACTGAAGGTGCATCCTGTGGCGATATAGTAGTTTGCCACTAATAATCGACGCAATAGTGATGAAAATTAGTTTGGTCACTAATAACATGGGAATCAGTGACAAATCAAGATTTCGCCACCACATTTTATCACTGATGCTCGGTCTTCCTATAGTGGTGGCAGCGCTCAATAGCCAATTCCAGAGTATGCGTAGAGACACCCGATTCCAGAAGAGTACCACAGTGGTCGAAGCTTATAATCCATACTCTGTTGATGATGGCTATGAAGATGAAGAAGAGGAGGTTACTACGGCTAAATAGAATTAGGATAAAAAGACAGTAATGGTGCCAAATCCTTGGAGAAGAGGAGTCGATGAGAGCTATGACTTTGATATCACAAAATCAGACAAGCTCTTCGATTTCTTGCTTGAGAAGGGACAGTTCAAGTTGCCCGATAATCATGTTATGTTGCCCCCTGATCAGTTGAAGAATAAAAAGTTTTGCAAGTTCCATAACGCTACTTCTCATTTCACTAATGAATGTAGAGTTTTCCGACAGCATAAACTGAGGGCTATTCAGCAAGAAAGGCTCAAATTTGATACGTCTCGGAAAATAAAAGTTGATAATAATCCTTTCCCAGGAGATCAAAACCATGGTTGATGCTAGGCTGCTCAAAGGAAAGACTAAGGTCCTAACATCAACCAAATCAAGAGAAGCTAGAACAGTCAATCTCGAGAAGCAAATATCGGTCGACGAATATAGGGGAATTAAAAGACGTTGCGACAAGGAAAAGAGCCAATATGAGCAGGGAGAAACGTGAAAAGAAGGGGCGAAAAAGCCATGAGTTACATATCGAATTCTGTTGAATAAATGGCAGCGGCAGAAGGAAAAGGATTATCAACGTTGGTTGAAAAAGCAAGAATACCAGCGTCAACAGAAAAAAGAGAGGTACGAAAGAAAGCAAACTGAATTGCATTGGAATTGTCCTTTCTTTAGACATTGCTAGAATAAAGGTTTGAAGTTGCCTACCAGGAGTAACTGTCCAGAGTGCAGCGATCAGTATTGGGAGTTTAGACAATCTCAAGCCAACCGCCGATCTATCCATACTCAAGATGCATATCACCATAATAACATGGATCGGTGCTTAAAAATGAAAGTGTTCATAATCGGCTAGGAAAAAGAGTTATTGATCAAGACTAGGCTGATTATGAAGAAGAAGGCAATGAGAGAGAATATGTTTGGCAGGAAGGCCAGTGATGTCCAGGAGGTTTGACAAGAAGCCAGAAGAGAAGGGTGCAACGCCTAAGGAATAAAGAGTTGGAACATTCCCCGGCATCCGGTAAACCTCAAGTATGGTGTGCTAAGCAAACAGCCGATAGAAAACAACCATCGGCTAATATTCAAATGACTTTTCTGTTGCCATCAGAGTTAAGAGCTCCAACAGATCAAGAAGTTTATTTGGATTTCGACAAATCGGAGTATGAGGAGATAGTTGCCAAGTTAACGGTTATACAACAAGCAATATTTGATAAACTAGTCAAGCATCGGCACCTAAAGGCTTTATATGTAAAAGGTTTTGTTGTTGGAAGCCAATGAACAAGATGTTGGTGGGCGGAGGCGCTACTGTCAATCTCATGCCTTACACCACTTTTCATAAACTTGGCAAGGGACTAGGAGATCTGATTGAGACTGACATGATGCTTAAGGACTTTGGAGGTAATGCGTCTAAGACTCGGGGGGCAATGAATGTCAAACTGACAATCGAGGGTAAGACTCTGCTCACCACATTCTTCGTCATCGATGGAAAAGGGTCATACAATTTGCTCCTTGGTCATGATTGGATTCATGTGAAGTGTTGTGTACCATTGACCATGCATTAGTGTTTGATTCAATGGCATGGATATGATGTCGAACTAGTTCACGCCGATGAGTCTGTGAGCATCGCAACAGCCGATCCAGTCTTTTGGGAACTAGGAGACTTCGAATGCTTTTCTGGCAAGTTATGGGAAGGAGGCTTCATTAAAATCAGCAATGAAAGCCAACAGTTGATGCAAGCAATCGGCTCTGAGAGTTTGTTTTAGTAAATAGTCATGACTTCACGTCGGCCATTGGATTAAGGAAAAAATAAGCATTGGTCCTAGAGATGGGCTTAAGCCGATGTATGTGAATGCTAAGTCGAATCGTAAGTGTGATTCAGAGTTGATAGATTTCTTAAAGGAAATTTTGTTTCGCTTAACGAGATACTTGCTCTGGATCGATCGATCGTTTAACTTTTGGTCTGGAAAAATTCTGATACAACCTGTCAATAGTGATCGGTGAAAATATTTGAAGGAATATTATACTAGCATTTGATTAACACTTGATAGCCGATTCGTTTAATCGTCGGCTCTAATAGCCGGTACTGGAAAGGTATCGCCTCTAGTTCAAAAATGAAGAAACTTCAGGGACATAAAAGCCGATATGATATGTATCGCCTCTAGAGCAAAGAATAAAAGCAAAAACATTCATGACACATACAGGGGCATTGCACTAAGACACGTTCATAGAAGAGCAAAAGATTTCATTCATTTGTTTACCCTAAGTACAATCTAATCGAAGACCTTGTTCACCACATCCTGAGCGGATGTGATGTCCACGATGGCCTCCGCCGCTACGATGAATTCTTCCATCTGGTCCTCATGTTCCTCAGGGCCGTCGCCCATTGGGAAACTAGTCTCCATGGCATGGAGCTTGTACCCGGTCTGGACTTGCGCCACGGTCAGCGCCATTGACATGCCATGATGAACACTATGGAGGGCGATCTCCTGAACGTGAGTCAGGATGTCTTGGAGACAAGCGTTGATGAGGGAACCCCGAACATTAACGACGTCCGTGGCCACGTTCGCCGCCAGTTGAAGAGACTCCAACTGCATCGTCAGGGCTAGCAATCATAGGAACAGAAAGACTATCAAGATAAAGGCAGTGGAAATCAGAGTGAAGGCGTTTCTGGAATTCATCTTACCCGCCACCATGGTGTTTGATTCAGCCAGCCACGCCTCAACGGCGCTGGCCTCTTCTTCGGCGGCGTGAAGGGCCGCCTAGGAAACCTCGAAGCGGATCTCGAGCTGGCCGTTTCCCGAGTTGCCTCGGAATAGCGGTCTTGGGCCGCCCTCCACTCCCGGAGGAAGCGCCATGCATCATCGCCATTGTACGAGTTGGAGGAGTCCGATGATGAGGCCGGCGCAGAAGACACAACATTAGAGGGCTCACCGGCCCTAGGAAGAGGACGG